TAATATATTATTTAATTAAGAAGACATCAAAATAAAATATAACAAATAATGTAATATCTTTTAATATTTATATATTATTTAAGCTTAACACAAATAAAGACTACATATAATATTATTAAAATTCTCACAGAGCTAAAACTTCAATCAGAACATAAATCTTTTGCTAGTTGTTTTGGCTTTTATGATATTTGTCGCTGATTTTGGCCTGAGCTCAATTTCCGCATTGTTTGTTTATTTATTTATTGTTTTTTGTTGTTGTTGTTGTTATTTGTGCTTTTTGCATTTCGCGCGCGATTTGCTTATGCACTCTCGTATCGCGAACACTCGAACGCAAACTAAAAATGGCGCCAAAAGTTTGCCACACTACCTGCACAAAGAGAGCCGCGTGTGCCGAAAGTGTGGGCAAGAGACAGAGAGAGAGAGAGAGAGAGTGAGATAGGGAGCGAGCTGTAGTTCAACTGACAGCGTGCCGCATTTACAGTTGTGCAAGAGCTTTTTCGCGCCATTTTCACTTGTTCAAAGCGAACTTTGCCGCCTCGTGGGCGGTCGATGCGATAATGAGTCGCAAGCAAAGATCTGCCGTTTATAGTTTTTGTTTTTATTGTTTCCAAAAGCCAAAAGCTCACTGGCCTTATTATTTGACTGTTGTTGCTGTGCTTGTTGTTGTAGCTTGTTATTTGCTGATCATCGCCTGTCAACTGATTAATGTGTGCGTGTGTTGATGCACTTGTTGTTGTTTGTTGTTTTGGCAAAGCTTTTTGCGCTCTCCCTCTCTCTCTCGCTCTCGCTCGTCTTTTGTTAGCTAATCGATGAGGCCTTGCTCAAATGAGTGTATTATTTATTTTGTTTTGATAAAAGGCATAATACGAAAAKGAGAAAAAAGACAAACAAGCAAACAAACAAAGACAACCTGAGAACGAGAATATTTTGAGCTGATATTGCAATTATTTGTTTTATTTATTTATCATAATTATTCTGCTTCTATTAATATAATATAAGATGAACATAATTTTTGCACGTTTAACTTGTGCCAGCAAAGCAAGTTAATTATCTGGCGTGCTCATTATTCTTGCCATGACTGTACGCCAAATGTCAGTTACACTTCTCGAAAAAGTTGGGGCGCAAAACTCAAACAAATTATTTGCAGTCAGCCATACTTTGTGGCAAGGCCATAAAAAGTCACCACTGTGCGCACTCTAACGGTAAACGTCAGTCACATAGGAAAACACACACGCACACACACACAGAGACATACATTTATATATAATATGTATATGTATATATATAGAAATACACGCGCATACATACGTACGTATATTGCCACATATAACGGTTGTTTGCCCAGTCGACATCCACTGCGCAAATCCCTGTAAAAGTATCTACCCTAAAATGCTGTCACTGCGCACTAGCCCGAGCTGGAGCTGAAGCTGAAAGTAGCATTCAGGCAACAATTTTACAGTTCGAGCTCGTTGCTTTTGGGTGGTTCGGGTGGCTCGGGTGGTTACACTGACAACAACCACTGAGCGTTCCAGCAGCAGCAGCAACAGCAGCCGCAGCAGCGCTGTCGGCGTCAGCTGCTGCGTTGTCGGCATTAAAAATGCCATAARCACACACACACGCACACCTACACAAATACACGCTCACGCACACTCTCTCATATAGGTAGAGATAAGCAGAAGCCGCTGCTGCTGCCGTAATTTTATGCCTGTGTATATTTGTGTTTGTGTCTTTGTATTTGTGTGTGTGTGTGTGTGTGTGCGCTGTGTATTCCTTTCAGCAATTTCACATTTCATTCATTTGACGTTGACTGCGACGCCGGCTGCGCAGCTGCGACGCTAGCAGCAACAGCGACAGCAACTGGCGTCAGCTTTGGCGTTTTGTGCTTTTCAATTTTAGATCAACGCTAAAATGTCGGCCCTGCCTCATTTTGTATGCCATTTAATATCATTTGTTGTCCTTTGCTTGGCTCTTGCCTTTCATTTCAATCTCGTTCGTTGTCCCCAGCTAGTTATCTATTATGTATGTATGTGTGCAAGTGTGGGTAGCTGTGCCACGCTGCGTATGCGTAACGTACACAGTTTTTAATGCATTTCCAGTACGAAAATAATCAGCTCAGCTCAGCTCGAACGATATGACTAATGAGAGCATTGCCAAACAGAATTTGTATACATGTGTATGTGTGTGTGTGTGTGTGTGTTTATTGTCGGGCTAAAGTTTTAATTAGAAGTTAAGCATTTGATTATGTTGGATGGCTACAGCTGGGAAATGATATAGAGAATAAGCCACGTTGAAATTAGCTAAAGAATTGTAAATGTTGGCCAAACAACTTTGTGATAAGCTCTATATTTTGAAAATAATTTGAAATAAATATCAATATTGACATATAATGTTATTAATTTAGATTGAGTGCTTCGTGGCAGCACTATTTTTATGGCCGCAGCTGTGTATATATGCGTGTATATATATGCATGTTATTTGTATATATAAATAGCATAATATATTCATACCATATTGATATATTGAAGTTTTCTCAATTGTTGTTCTGAGAGGATTTTACTATTGTATGCCCTCATTAGTATGCTATAACATTTTTGATCAATGCATTTATGCATATATGTATGTACATATGTATAATTTTTACAAGCCTTCACGACATGTAATACTTAAAGAATTTTTTATTTTCTTGTTTATAGCAAAATTTTTATATTTTTTAGCTAAAATTTCTTCATCCAAAATTTTGTATTCGTGTCTTTTTTTTTTTTTTTTTTTTTTTTTTTTTTTTTTTTTTGAATAAAAATTACCTGCTTGTGTTTTTATTTTTTGTTTTCTGATAATATAATTATAATTTTTAATAAAATTTTTTGTCTAAATAATTAAATAAGTTTTCTGCCATCTTCACTAGAAAATTAGTTTTTTTTATGTTAATAATAAATTAAAGCATTATTTAAGTTTTCTGGGATGCTTAATGAGGTCACTTTACTTATTTTTCGTTTATTATTAAAATTGGTAAGCTTTATAAAAAAAAGTTTCTTATACAATATGAAAAGGTCTTGAGAAGTATTTTGCCAGATTTGTTAGTTAATTACTTATGTTTATTATTCATATTTTTTTTTTTTAGTTCTTTTCCTATATCTTACTTTTGTATTTTCCAATTAGTTTTAGTATTTTAGGTTTTTTGTTTTTGTTTTCGTTTTCGTTTTTTTTTTTTTTAATTTTAGGAAGCAACAGATCATATTTGTTACTCTATTGAGACGCATTTTAATCACAGGCTTACTTTTTTTTGTGTTAAATAGAAATTTATATATTTTATTACCAGCTTTCTAGCATTGTATTCATATTTTAAAGTGTAGTAACTGTATTTAACTATAGCTTGGCATAATTTAGTTTCACATCTGCTCTGCTTGACAACAGCTTTGCCCATGAATATTTTACATAGCATACCTTTGGGCGCAGCTTAAAATGTCAACGTTTGCTGTTAAATCTCTTAAGCCCGCACAGAAACATCTTTAAAGTTTGGCATATGGCATAAATAACTCCGCCTAGTCACCTACATCCTATGCCCATCAATTGGCCAACGGCTCCGGCAAGCAACGCCGCACGCACACGCCAGACAAAATATATTTCGCTTTCGATTTTGTAGGTGGCTGGGCTACATACTATGCATACATATTCATATGTGTATATATGTGTGTGTAAATATATAAATACAATCGCATGAGTTGTGCTCAGCGAAGGAATCCTTTTGGCCATGAAGCTGCTGCTGTTGCTGCTGCTGCTGTTGCTGTTGTTCTTGTGCATCACGTGTTGCCGCCTCGTGTGGCGACATTGACAACGTCATTGCGTGTGCTGCTTGTGTGTGGTCGGGCAAGGCAAAGGCAAAGGCAGAGGCAGCTCTGCGGGCGTAACAGTTGCGCGCGTGAATCTAACAACAATTTTGCCGCCATTTTCCCATGTTTGCTCTTGCAGCAGCAGCCAGACTGCAGACACACACACACACACGCACACGCACATACATACATATATACTCGGCTCATGTGGGCGCAGTTGTCGCTAGCCACTGACCACTGCCAGAATTTGTCTTTGTGATTGATATGACTGCAGCTCCAGCCACCTGCTCACCCAACCCCGACTCGCCCCCCTTCCCACCATTCCTACTTCCAGCTCTCGTTGATTTATTGTCTGCTGTGCGCCCACTGTGCGAGTGCTCAGTTCTGTGGTTTGTTAACCCAATTGTCGCAGCATCTCGTCAGCTTCAGCAGCAGCAGCATCAACACCATCATTGTCGTCGTTTCTCTTGGTTGTTGTTGTTGTTGTTGTTTTCGCTGTCTCGTGCGCGTTGCGTTATTTGTCAGTATTTCTCAGTATTTGGGTCAAGTGCATGGAGGCGATTGTCTGGCGATGATGATGATGTTGATGATGATGTTACTCTTGCTGCTGCTGATATAAATAACATTTGCATAATGTAGCTGAAGTTTGGAAAAAGCGCATCAAGACTTTTGAGTTATTTGAGAAACTTTAGCAGAGTAGAGCGAATGGAGAGAGCAGTTTTCCGAGTTACGTTGGGATATGCGCTTCATAAGTAATTGTTTCATTTGAGCAGCAGCTCATGACAATATATATATACTTATACATGTACATATATAAATACTCATAGGCCTCTGCATATGCCACATATCATTGTATATTTACTGTGCAGCTATTTAAAAGTGCATTGCCCTGATTTTACATATTTGCAGGTGTGGTATATATAGCTCAATGCACTGGTTCATCGAAAAGTGAATTCCAATCACACACACAGATACACAAATGCATAATTGAGTAAATTATGTACAAAATATATACATATATACACATGTTTATATAGACACGTATGTATATACATAATAATTGCGTCTCTGTGTGCATATAAAAAAGACTGCAGCAAGGCATATGCTTGCTGCCTATACACAGATACGTATATAAGTGTGTGTGTGTGTGTGTGGGTGCATTTGTGTGGGTGGTTGTGTAAGCCGTGTACAGTTGCCGTCACGAATATTTGATGAACATTTGTGTGTGTGGCAATATGAAATTATTGAATATTTAAGAGCCTCTTCATAAGCTGCAAGCAAATGGATAGAGGAATGTGATATGAATTAAGCTGTAGTGCTTGAAAATATAGTTTTTCAATATACATATGTATATAGTATATACCATAAAACATAAATGATCAAGCTATCAACTAGGAATGTACATAATATTCACTGTTATTTAACATTATAGATGCTTGATTTTTTCTCACATTTGTAGCAAGTTTGCTTTTGAGCAACGCCAAATGGGAGATTAGTAGTAGGCTTGCTGCTTCGTACGACTCGACTTAACATTTGCTCTCATTCAATTTTACAGGTTACTCTGAGGGAGGCAACAAGTAGAACACTTTATTTAAAGTCTACGTAAATCATACAATATCCAAGGCAAAGATGAGCGGCGAGCGTCCGAAGCGTCCATTGTCAGCGTACATGCTGTGGCTGAACGAGAACCGCGAACAGATCAAAAAGGAAAATCCCGGCAGCAAGGTCACAGATATAGCCAAGCGAGGCGGTGAGCTGTGGCGCGGCTTGAAAGACAAAACTGTAAGTAGATCCTCTCTCTGATTTAAAATATTTTACAGATTTTCTAAAATATTTCTTTACCATTCATTTCATTTAGGAATGGGAACAGAAAGCCATCAAAATGAAGGAGGATTACAATAAAGCGGTAAAGGAGTATGAGGCAAATGGCGGCACCGATTCCGGTGCGCCCAAGAAGCGAAAGAAGATGGCCGCCAAGCCCGCCAAGAAGGCCAAGAAGAAAGAGTCCTCCGAGGAGGACGATGACGACGAAAGCGAGTAAATTCACACTGGCCACGTTCGCATCAGTTTTAAAATACATTTTACTAATGTAATTTTTTAAGTGACATAAAACAAATGAAAAAAATTAAGAAAAAAAAAAAAACTACAAAAACAAAAGAAACAAAAAAACAAAACCTTAAACCTTTAAATATGCACTTAAAACAAACAAACAAACAAACAAAAACAACAACAAAACACACCAAGAACCCTAATATAAGTTAAACATATAATTTTCAGTCAAAAACAAACAAAAAACAACAAAAAAAAAAACATAAAAACACAAAACAAAAAACTAGCAACTGTTTCTTTATAGGTTTATACGTATGTATGTATGTATGTATCTACAACAACTATTTCATTCTAATGCGTTTCTCAAATTCCTCATACGCCAGGTCGGCCTGGCCACACATCGTTGCATCTGTAAATTGAGGTTTATTATTTCTTATTTTTACATTTTTATTTTATTTTCATTTGTTTAATTCTTTTTTCATGGCATCTAATGTAAATGTTTATGCATAGCGTTCCACAGTTTTGTAGGAGAGGCGCTGGGTAAAATCATCTCATGATGCGCAGACTCTAGAGAATCAATCGATTCGCCGTTGTTTGCGTCCAGCGCTCTCCTTATTCGTCCTTTTAGCAGAAGTTCTCACTTTAATTACATACAATTAATACAAGTTTAAAAACCACAATCCAACAAGTTATATATACATTTTAATATATACATAAGTATATATATGTAATTTAAAAGATAAAAACAAAATACAAAAAGAAAAAAAAAAATAAACAAAAACAAATATGTAATTGTAAATGTAGAGCTGAACGGAATATTATTTAAAAATATATAAATAAAAAAAAAATTTAAAAACTTAAATAATGTGTTTCAATGATTAGTATTAAAATGATATAGTTCATTAATTAAAATCAATAATTAAGTTGTGCTACAGGTTACATTAGTAAATTTAGTTTAAAGTATCTATTATATATCTTTAATTTTTATATGTATTTTTGTGTCAAGATGTTTTAAATATATTTAATTATTTT